AAAAAAAAAAGCCTGGTCTTATTTCCACCACAACTGAAGCTGACATTTTGGAGCACTTTGGTGTTGAGTTGTATAAGTTCTTTATTTTTTTTGGATTCTATTCCTTAATCACACAGGTCATTTGCAAATGTCTTCCCATTCAGTAGGCTGCCTTTAGATTTACTGATGCTCTCCTTAACTGTGCAGAAGCTTTTTATTTTGATGTAATCCCAATAGTTTATTTTTGCTATTTTTCCCTTGCCTCAGGAGACATATCTAGAAAAAAGTTGCTACAGCTGATGCAGAGAAATTATTGCCCGTGCTCTCTTGGAGGATTTTTATGGTTTCGGGTCTCATGTTTAGGTCCTTAATCCATTTTGAGTTTATTTTTGTGTATGATGTAAGAAAGTAGTCCAGTTTCAGGGTGCCTGGGTGGCTCAGTCGGCTAAGCATCTGCCTTCAGCTCAGGTCATGATCCCAGAGTTCTGGGATCGAGTCCCGCATCAGGCTCCTTGCTCAGTGGGGACCCTACTTCTCCCTCTGCCTGCTGCACCCCCTGCTTATGCTCTCTTTCTCTGTCAAATAAATAAATAAAATTTTTAAAAATTTTTTAAAAAAGAAAGTAGTCCAATTTCATTCTTTTGCATGTTGCTGTCCAGTTTTCTCAACATAATTTGTTGAAGATACTGTCTTTTTCCCATTGCATATTCTTGCCTCCTTTGTCGAAGATTAATTGATCATATAATTATGGGTTTATTTCTGGGTTTTCTATTCTGTTACATTGATTGATGTGTGTCAATTTTTGTGCCAGTACCACACTGTTTTGATTACTACAGCTTTGTATTATAACTTGAAGTCTGGAATTATGATGCCTACAGTTTTGTTTTGTTTTTTTCAAGATTGCTCTGGCTATTCAGGATCTTTTGTGGGTCCAAATAAAATTTAGGATTGTTTATTCCAGTTCTCTTAAAAATGCGGTTGGTATTTTGATAGGGATTGCATTTATTGTATAGATTGCTTTGGGTAGTAAAGACATTTTAACAATATTTGTTCTTCAAATCCATGAGGAGAGAATGTCTTTCCATTTCTTTGTGTTGTCCTCAATTTCTTCCATCAATGTTTTATAGTTTTCAGAGTACAGGTTTTTCACCTCTTTGGTTAAGTTTATTTCTAGGTTCTTACTATTTTTGGTGCAACTATAAATGGGATCGTTTTCTTGATTTCTCTTTCTGCTGCTTCATTATTAGTGTACAGACATGCAATAGATTTCTGTACATTTTGTGTCTTGTGATATTACTGAATTCATTTATCAGTTCTAGTAGTTTTTTGGTGGAGTCTTTATAGTTTTATATATAGCATATCATGTCATCTGCAAATAATGAAAGTTTTACTTCTTCCTTTCCAATTTGGATGCCTTTTTGTCTGTTTGCTGTGGCTAGGACTTTCTGTACTATGTTGAATAAAAAAGTGAGAATGGATATCCCTGTCTTGTTCCCGATCTTAGAGAAAAGCTCTCAGTTTTCCCCATTAATGATGATGTTAGCTGTGGGTTTCTCATATAAGAACTTTATTATGTTGAGGTATGTTCTCTCTAAACTTACTTTGTTGAGGGTTTTATCATGAATGAATCTTGTAGTTGTCAAATGCTTTTCTGCATCTATTAAAATGATCATATGGTTCTTATCTGTTCTCTTAGTGATGTGATGTAATGTAACATGTTGACTGATTTATGAATACTAAACCATCCCTGCATTCTGGAAATAAATCCCAATGGATCCTGGTGAATGATTTAAAAAAAATATATTGTTGGATTTACTTTGCTAGTATTTTTTTTTTTTTTTAGGATTTTGCATCTATGTGCATAAGGGATATTGGCATGTAGTTCTCTTTTGGTGGTCTTTTTTCTGGTCTTGGTATCATGGCAATGGTGACCTAATAGAATGATTTGGAAGTTTTCCTTACTTTTCTGTTTTCTGGAATAGTTTGAGAAGAATAGGTATTAATGCTTCTTTAAATGTTTGGGAGAGGGGTTCCTGGGTGGCTCAGTGGTTAAGTGTCCAACTCCTGATTTCGGCTTGGGTTGTGATCTCAGGGTTGTGGGATCGGGCCCCATGTTGGGCTTCACACTGAGCATCAAGCCTGCTTGGTATTCTTTCTCTCCCTCTCCCTCTGTCCCTCCACCGCTCTGCCCCCAGCTTGCATACTCTCTCTCTCTCAAATAAATAAATAAATCTTAAAAAAAAAAAAAAAAGAAATGTTTGGTAGAATTCTACTGTGAATTGATCTGCTCCTGGACTTTTGTTTGAGTTTTTGAATACTGATTCAAATACATTGCTGGTAACTGGCCTGTTCAAATTTTCTATAATCTCTTGTAATCTTATGTATTTCTGGAGTGTTGGTTGTTATATCTCCTTTTTCATTTCTGATTTTTTAAATTTAAAACCTCTCTCTTTTTATGAGTCTTTGTTTGTTTTCAAAGTATTATCTCCATTTATTATTTTTTTTCCAAAGAAGAGTTTTTCTTCAGTCTTGAATGTCTTAGCTCCTCACATGGGCTTTGGTGGTAGTCACACACACAGATCTAAATTGGGATGGGGGTGTTCAGTTCTTCTGTGCTTCAGGAGAGCGATTCCTGACTACCTTGCTGTGCATCGTACAACTCACACAGTAATATAGTTTCACATACAGCTTGGGGAGAACACAGGCATTGAAGATACTTGCTTTGGAAATGTCCCTGACAATGGTAGCCCTCTACTATGTTTTGAGTAACAAATTTCTTAATGGCTTTGTTCTTGGGCACACAACAGGCATAGTTGGTGCAGTGAAGAGTCTGCACATGGCTGTGGCCCTTTTTGGCACAATTATTCCTTCTTTTCTTGGTCATCTTGGAAGTGAGGACCCAAGAGAGGATGGATCACTGTGTTTTCATTTGCATTTCTCTCTTAGCAATTTTTTATTTCTTCTTTGACTTCTTGGTTGATCCATTTATTATTTAGGAACATGTTATTTAACCTCCATGTATTTGTGTTCTTTCCAGATTATTTGTTGTGGTTGATTTCTAGTTTCATAGTGTTGTGATCAGGAAAGATGCATGGTAGGATCTAGATCTTTTTGAAGTTGTTGAGACTTGTTTTGTGGTCTAATATGGGATCTATTCTGGAGAATGTTCCAAAGTGAACTTCAAAAGAATGTGTATTAAGCTGTTTTAGGATGGAATGTTTTGAGTATATCTGTTAAATCCATCTGGTCCAGTGTGTCATTCAAAGCCACTGTTTCCTTGTTGATTTCTGTTTGGATGATCTGTTTATTGACATAAGTGAGGTGTTAAAGACCACTACTATTATTGTACTACTATTGAGTAGTTCCTTTATTTTTGTTAATAAATATTTTATGTATTTGGGTGTTCCCACATTGTGTGCATAATATTAATAATTGCATGTTTTTCTTAATGTCAACTATATTTTAAGCCCTGGGTAAATCTAGCTAGTATAGAGACTTAAAATTTTCTTTTTGTAGTCAAACACTAGGAAAGCTTTCAGAAGAAAAGTGTAGAATAAATATTAGTAACTTAGGTATACTGAGAACCATATACAGAAGACAAGGGCTTGAATGTCCACTGAGAACAGTCCATGCATAAGTGGCATATGCCAAAAGGAGTTACATGTATTTTTGGTAAATACATGTTGCCAGATATTGGTATATATCTAAAGTTGTTTCTTAAGCACTTGGAAGACACTGGCTAAGTTTTTCTTTCCCTAAGGTGACATCCTCGAGAAAAGTTATACTCTGGGTTGTAGTACTATCTAACAAATACCAAATGTTATCCAAATAAAAATATTTGCCTCTATTTAATTGTAGAACAATATTTCCTAAAAAATAAAGAAAACTATATGAACTAAATAAAAGATGATAGAAGATACATATTTTAAGAAAATTAAATGTAAACTTTCAGATAAAATATAGCTAACAAAAAGTGGCTATAAATGCCTCGGTTCATTCTACATTCTCTAAATCCTTAAGTCTTAAATTTTATATAGTTTTATTGAAGAAGAAGAAATTTATAATTATTGCCAACATTTTATTTTGACCATGCAAATACTGTCCAAATGTCCTTAGACCCATAAAAATATATTTTATAGAATTTTAGTTCAAAGGTCAAAAGAGAAAAGGCCTCCAACTATTTTTTCAGGACATTCACAAAGGCCAAAATTATTTCTACAAATAGTCTTTATGTTAACAATCCTAGAGAATACAATACAATAAAATCATAATAAAAAATGTAACTATTAACAGACATTTATTTCAAATATGTATATTGCCTTTTATTTGAGGCTCAGAAAGTGGTAATTTTGAACTTCTGGAAACATGAGAATTTGCAAAATTCACCTAGAAACACAATGTAACAAATTACTAATATTCAAATAGACTGGTTTATCCCAATGGCTAGAAAACAAATTTTAAAAACCCAGTAGCTATTTTATGATTTATTTTTGAGGAGATACTTCAAATAATCACAAAGTGAGTATATTCAATATAGAAAATATTAAAATTGTAAATGAATATAATAAAGAAAATAAAACTGGTTAATACTAATTTTGAGTTATATATAAAACTTGCATATTAACCAACAACTTGGAAAGCAAAATCTGCCATTGATGCAGACAATAAAAGCTCACAAGGTTCAAGTTAATCATTGAAAAGTTGGGAAATTTAATTTTCAACCCCCAAATCGTCAGCTTTAAGTATATTTAAAGTATATATAAAATAGATATATTACATAAATCTTCAAAAGTATACGTATTTACGTTTAAAAATATATCATAAAGGAATTTAACATCAAATATACTGTTGGGTTTTAGATAAATAATTCATATTTAAAAATGTAAAATAAAATTCTCCACACTATTCTCTTAGTTCTAAATTATGACTTATAGATTATACTTTATTCCAAACATCAGTATATACTAAATACATGCAAGGCTTTTTTTCTCCCCCTCTAATGATGAAAAAATCGTTCTTACCCCACGTCAGTTTTATTCTGAATAACATTGATACCTTCTGGACTCAGTTCTGGGATCCATTTCTCTATTTCTTCCATCCAGGGATATCTCAGAGATGAAGGGACCACTATTAAAAGAGGCCATTCCTCCTTATAGAAGTAAGCAATTGCAATTGCCTGGATTGTCTTTCCTAGACCCATCTAAAATAAAAATAAATTAAAAATACATAAATATATAAGTAAATGCTGAAATATTTTGAATGAAAATATTAATCAAACATTTACTTAAGAGTATTATCATCAAAATAATTTTCTAACGTAAAATCAATTGGATTACATAGTTAATAAAAAGCACAAGATTATGATGACCTTTAAAATTCATTAAGCAAATTATGTTATCTTCTAACCATTTGTGACTGGACTTAGAGACAAAATAACCTGTTATTTAAAATATTAGTTATATTGAATTCATATAACTTAATTTTATAAAGATGTATATGACCATTTATAAGTTCATCTCTTAGAGAGCACAAGGGTAAATGACTTACCTATACAACACAATATCATGTTATTTTAAAGCTAGAATAAGCCCTAAATCATGCACATCTTACAAAAGAAATAAGCATACAGTGGTTAAATTCTCTATTCAACTTAACATTAATTGAATGCAAAACTAGTGTGAGAGCCCAGGTCTCCGGTGTCTTCCCACTTAATTGTTTTCACACTTATATCATAATGCCCCATTTCTAAGCAGTACCCATTTAAAAAGTAGTTACTAAATCAATGTTTTTATTTTTATTTTTTAAAGATTTTTTATTTATTTGAGAGAGAGAGAATGAGAGAGAGAGCACATGAGAGGGGGGAGGGTCAGAGGGAGAAGCAGACTCCCTGCCGAGCAGGGAGCCCGATGCGGAACTCGATCCAGGGACTCCAGGATCATGACCTGAGCCGAAGGCAGTCGCTTAACCAACTGAGCCACCCAGGCGCCCTAAATCAATGTTTTTCGTGGTTTTGTTCCTAACAGCCAGAATACGAAGACAACCCAAATGTACTTCAACTGGTACATGGATAAAAACTGGGGTACATCCATGTAATAGAATACTATTTATCAATAAAAAGGGAGCAAACTATTGCTATACACAACACGTTGCATTTTGCTACATGAAAGAAGTCAAACTCAAAAGCAACATACCATATGATTCCATGTTTATGTCATACAGAAAACACATCAGAGTCGAGGAGTGGGAGGAGGAGAGCAGCATGAGGGAACTTTTGAGATGATGGAGCTGTTCTGTATTTTTATTGTGGTGATAGTTACATGTCTGTACACATTTGTCGACCTATAGAATTGCGCATTTAAAAAGGATGAATTTACCTAAAAGAGTGAATTACACCTCAATAACACTGACTTCTTTAAAAAAGTAGTTATTAGGGGCGCCTGGGTGGCTCAGTCGTTAAGCGTCTGCCTTCAGCTCAGGTCATGATCCCAGGGTCCTGGGATCGAGCCCCACACTGGGCTCCCTGCTCCGCAGGAAGCCTGCTTCTTCTCCCACTCCCCCTGCTTGTGTTCCCTCTCTCGCTATGTCTCTCTCTGTCAAATAAATAAATAAAATCTTTAAAAAAAAAAGTAGTTATTATTATGGATATAAGAGAGAGACTAAAAGATGTAAGGACTACTGACTTGATGTTTCAAAGAGAAAAAAGATATAGCTACCTAATACAGTTAATTTAAAATGAATTTTAAATGCTGAGCAAAATTAAAGAAGAGACAAAAAGGAAGTTTGGGATTTTTAGCAAGTCTCCACTAAGAAAATCTTGTTTTATGTATTTTTCATTAAACTACTGCTATTAACAATGACAAAAGTAATCCCAGAATATTCAAGCAAGCTAACATTTATATCAATCACACTCAGAAAGAGAAAACTAGTGTGAATTACTTAGGAAGATGTTCTTTTGATTGGAATAAAGACTGTCAAATGGAGACAAGGTAAATGAAATGTAGTAAGTGACTTTGTTTCTGACCTGGTGTTCAGTAAGTGCTCAGATATTTGAATCCATGAGTGAATTAATGAGTAAATAAAGATCAAGATTGTTAAATTCTGTGCGACAGGCAAAACCCAGGCAGAGAAAAAAACAGGAAGGAATACTGAAAAGATTTTAGTGCAAGAGCAGTATTATTAGCTAACATTTCAAAGTTCTGAGGCAAATCACATTCAAAAATAGAGCCAAAGCAGGGGCACCTGGATAGATGGGTGGCTCAGTCAGTTTAGCATCTGGCTCTTGATTACAGCTCAGGTCATGATCTCAGGGTTCTGAGAGTGAGCCCCGAGTTGGGCTCTGTGCTGGGTGTCACGGAGCCTGCTTAAGATCCTTTCTCTCCTTCTGCCCCTCTCCCGCAAAAAAGAAAAAAAAAAAAAAAAGCTAAAGCTAAGTCTAAAACCTTTAATGTATACAAATAACCTAAATGTCCATCAGTGGTTGAGCTGATAAAGAAGTCATGGTATATATATACAATGGAATATTATTTGAGAATAAAGGAAATCCTGCCATTTGCAACAACCTGAATGGAGTGTGAGGACATTATGCTAAGTGAAATAAGCCAGAGAGAGAACGATAGATACTGCATATATCATGTATACACAGAATCTTTGGACAAAAAAGAAAGAAAGCACCAAACTCACAGTAACAGAGAGTAAAAAAGTGGTTGCGGGGGCTAAGGGATAGGGAGAATAGGGAGAGGCTGGTAAAAGGGTACAAACTTTCAGCTGTAAGATGAATAAGGTCTGAGGAACTCATGGACAGCATTGTGACTACAGTTGATAACACAGTGTTGTATGATTGAGGTTTGGTGGGATGGTGGAACTAGGATGTTCTCAACAAAACAAAACAAAATGAAAAACCCAGAAAAGTATAGATATGTGCGATGAGTGATGTGTTAAATGTATAGGGGAAATCCTTTCACACTATATATGTGTGTCAGGTCATCATGATGCATACTTTATAGGTCTTGAAATTTGTTTTTCTGCTATACCTCAGTAAACCTAAAATTATAAAAAAATACTGGATATGTAAGCTTTTAATATTGAAACAAGATCCATTTGCAGATAAAAATCGTTTCCTATCTAGGGTGTGAAGAATAAAATTCTGGTTAAGTTAGGCAGGGCTTGGTAACTGGGTAACTTAGGAATATAGACACACATACACACACACAGCCTACATACTTTATTACAAAATTAAATCATTTTACAGCCTAATATTCTATATCTCTTTCTAAAGAAAGCATACAACCCCAACCTTTAGGCCTACACAGCCAAATTTAAGATTTATTTGATGGTAGTAGACCTAACCCTAAGAGAAATAAATAACTTTTACATAACTTAGTTTTATAAAACCAAACCTAAGGCAATTATGCACCAACATCTGGTATAATGACTGCTATATTTTCTTGTCCTCAAAAGCCCAACAATCCTCATAGCTGAACCCACTTAAACATCACTAGATTCTGGGACCAATATGATTCCAAGGCAGCAGAAATTTATAAATTACAGATGTTTCCTGGCTTGCTTATCCCTAACAACTATGACAAAGGAGCACAATTCCAGGAACTGAGCCATGGTCAATTCTGTGTGTGTAGACCATACCACCAAGTAACTCTGTGCCATAGCTATGGTTACCTGGCTTTGCTTCCTGCAGTGGGTTCATAGATCATTTTCTTAACTTCTATTTCTCTGGAAATAGGGGTCTGTTTGTTACCCTAATTTTCTGGAAAGTAGAAGTCTTTGTGCCTCAGATTCTATTACCGGATCTTTTGCTTGCTGCTCATCTTTTGCTTGCTGCTAAATTTACTTGGTGCCTGTCTACCTAGAATTTTGTGTATTTCATGTAGTGGGACTAACAGTTATCTCTGTGTTAACCTGCCAGGCACCTTAAATTAAATTTCCTAATATTGTCTGCTACTGATATCAGGGTCACAGGTTTTCAACAGGGATGTGTGGAAACAAAAACTGAAACAATAGGTAGGAAAAAGTTGGGAAAAGAGAAGTTATGGATTGAAAAAAGAGAGGGAACTGACAATAAATACAGGAAAGAATAAGAATAATCAAGATGTGCTGAAAAGCTAATCTCATTAAAAGTTTGAATTTATTTTTATTTTCTAGTTCCCTAATCCTGCTTTCTTGTATATTTGCTATATTACACCAAATGAATGTTTTTAATTCCAGATGTGTCATTTTTCAGCTCTAAAATGTACATCAGAATCTTTTAAAATATATTTTTAGATTCTTTTTAATAGATTAAATTCTCTATTGAAATTTTTTATCTATTCATTTCTGTTGTCCACCACTTCCTTGATTCTCTTGAATAAAAAAACACTGTTATTTTAAAATCTCTTTCTGATAACACCAATATCTGATCAACTGTGGACTCTATTACCTAATTTTCCTTTTGGTACTGTTTCTCAGCATCCCTTATATTTTTAATTGGATTCTAGAAAGTGATTGGTGAAGAAATTATAGAAGCTTTGGATGATATCTTCCCCCAAACAGAAATTAGGTTAAGTTTTCTTTTGGCATACAAATTGAGTAAGAGCAGATACCTCATTCCCTTTAAGTCTTGGTTTAGGCAAGTGTATTTCATATTTGCCCTTATTACTAGGGTATGGCCTTTACTACTAGGGGGTATACTTCTGGAGGTCACCACAAGCCCAAGCAGGGTATTTACCAAGATTTTTCTCCCTTGACAAGGCACAACTCTGATGTATGTCCTCAGCACCACAATAATGCTAAAATCTCTGCCTTGGTCTTTCTCCTCCAACTACAAATTTCTGCTGGGCTTTTTGGAGTCGCATCCTGGGCATGTACACTTTAAGAAATGGCCAATGATGTGAGGGTATATCTATGCAGATTTCTTGGGTCTTTCTCTCAAGTTACCTTCTCTCTGGGATTTTTCCCTTCATTTCCCAATGGTACAATGCATAGTTTGATAGCTATAGACAGAGTAGTCTCTGATACAAACCAGTTTAAGCAGCCTGTTTCAAATATGTGGCCTATGGCTTTAAGAAGAGAAAGAACTGAAGATACAGTGATCAATCTAGGCAGCTGAAGAAGAATGGAAAGTCAATTTGGGGAGCTATCAGTGTACTATTTCATTAAGTTTAGGAAATTCTAAATATTTTTTATTGTTCCCAGCTATCTTATCACATG